TTACTAAGTTATGCTAACATTGTATAGTATAATTAATAATATAATTTGAATCCTAAGACGATACACATTTACACTTGAAAGTCACATCTCCATCTGAAGGTAGATTTTGAAATATTAATTGTATGTACGTTACTTGCATGGTACGTACTTGCCCTAAGATTTAACGTTTCTCATGTGCCTATGAACCGTATATATAGGAACTAATTTATGGGGTACCCCTTCCCTCTCCATCATCTATAGGTATGTGCCTAATAACTATCACTCTTTTTAACTACCACAATTTCTGAAAGGAAAACCATAGAATATGTATATTAGGGTTTATATATATTTTCGATAAAATAAATGTATTAATTGATTAATTATTGACATGTGTGGGTTTGAGGTTTGATTAGAGTAGGAACAACCTTTTCATGTACCCACATGGAAATGTCTAGTACAAGTACACGTATCTAGTAGAAGATAGAGTTTCACATGTTCTCTTCTAAATACAGGTAAACCAACAAGCTTCCATTTATTAGAATATAGTTATTTAATGAATTATATAACTTTTTTTTTTCTAATTAATAAATTCATTATATCTTTGCTCTTCAATAACCCTTTTTTTTTCTTAAAAGTTCTTTTATTTCTATTTTGGGTCCTATTATTTATTGATATTGATTAAATAGTGAATTAATTGACGATAAAAGTTTATTTATCATGATATATGTGTTTTGTTTTGTTTAAATAAGAATTATTTTGTCTTTAATTAAGTTATGAATTTTTCTTCTTAAGTCGTCAATAATTTTCTTGTGTTTTAGTTTTTCGTAGATATTTTATTTTACTTATAATATCTACTGTTTATTGATATCCTTTAAATAATGAGTGATCATCTTTGCAGATTAAGAAAGAAAATAAAATGTATTAAAGAAGCTGCAGAATTGGTTAATGCACTTTGCTAAATTCATGTGAAATTGCTTGCTGGAATGTTATTCAAACAACAAATTCTAGTGCAGCAACAAGTCCAATCCACGTTTAAAAATTGAATACATCAAGAGCAACACCAAATAAAATTGTCACTGCATTGTTCACTCATAAATCTCACTTTTGTTGGTTATTTCAGTTATTTGTAATCATTGATGTTATGATGCAGACTTTGAAGTTTAAAGCCAACCACTAGAAGCTTAAACCAGTAACAATTTTGACAATAAAGTGCAGTAACAGATTTCAAACCAACATTAACTCTGCAGAGTTGGATTTAAAGAAAAGAAAAGAACAGAACAACACATAATTGACTCTTGGAATTGATGACACTATGAACATAGCAATGATCTAATACGAAGCAGGAAATGATTTTGAACTTTCTTTGATGTTTTAAGCTAATTGTTATTTTTTCAAGCTTTTGTAGGTTAACCTATAATGTTGTGTTCAGATTAGTAGTAGTTGTTTTTATTAATTACATCAACATATAAGATTTTGTTTAATAACTGCTTTTAACTAAACTAACCACTATCTTATTAAACTATTGTTTTGATCATAATTTTTTTTCTTGGCAGAGATTATATTTCTTAGTTATTGAAGGCAAACTAAGCACTTGTAATTGAAATTTAAGAATCCAAGTTTCCATACTAAGTTGTAAGTCTAAATTGACTTTGTTTCCTTCACCATATATAAACCTACTTAAGTTTTGAATGATTCAAAAATGGTATAAAAGAAATGGGAACCTCAAACTGGTATCCTAGATACTATCTATAAAAAAATAACCTTCATACTAAACTGAAAAGGGTAATCTAAACCTACACATGGTAAAATGTCTCATGCCTAATTATGACTGATTAGAACCAATGGCAGAGACACTTATAAATGGTTTATGTTTTCAAATTCATCACTCACGGATTAAATACCAAAAAAAACCACAATAGAATTATTCATTATTCTTTCATGGAACAACAAACCTAAATAATAAAGTCCATACCAAATCATATATCATAACAACTATTTCACAAATTCTTTTATTGTTATTATTAGTACAAGTGAATGCCTCGTACTAGTTCATTGCATTTGTTATTCTTTCTTTAATTGAATTTCAAGATAAGAGCACACCCCTTACATAATTCACAATCAGTTTAAAAACATTCAATCATGCAATTTCAATTTAGGTATCCATACCTTTGCCTTTGCTTTTCTTTGCTGCTTACTGGTCTTCTCCCTAGACTCTCTTCCTCCCTTTTTGGAAACAATTCAAACCCCTTCTCAAGCTCACCCTAACACATGGAAGGCAAGTGTAGTTAGGTTTATTGATTCATTAAGCGACATCAACACCTATTTCATTCAGACACAGAGAACATACCTCGACGCAAAGGTCTCCCAAGAGCCTCCCTTGACGAAGACAATCACCCTCACGTCACGGGAGCACCCTCCTGACAGCACGATGGACCACTCTCTTGACGGCAACGCCAACCCACTGGTGGAAGAAACAATCGAACACCACTATAGGGGAGGTTCAGCAAGTGAACCCTAGCCAAACAATGTCAGCTGACACAAGGGACAGGGAGAGGGAGAGGGAAAGAAACGTGAAACAGAAGCGAGAGGGAGAGAATGGGAAGCACAATGGGATGAGAAGGAGCGAAACAGAACGAAGACGGAGAGAATGGGAAACACGACGATAAGGTAGGGTAGAGTTTTGTCTAACGAAATTGGAGATAACCTTAGTTTAAGGGGTCGAGCCTCTTACCGAAGGCCATAAACCCCTCGGTAATGCTCTTTAGGCCTTCAGTAATTATATTTCACGATGGCCGTCTGTAATGCTCATTTTGACCGTCGATAACACACTTTTACCGACGCCCCATAGGCCTTCGGTAATATGTCATCGGTAATAAATCAAATTCTGGTAGTGGTATAATTAACCTACTTATATCAAGTGTTGTAGTGGGTGTGACAATTTGTTGCTAATAACTATATGAACCATGTGATTATTTGAGGATAGTAATCATAGTTCATTTGAAAATCACATTGTTAATTATTTTCATATGAAAAATTATTTTTGCATTTTTGAAAGAGGATTTTTAAAAGAAAATAAGTTGAAATCTTATTGATTAGACTTTCAAGAAAGAATAACATGTTTCGGTAGACATCTTAAGTACCTTATCTTTCCTTAGTCAAAGTGTTCCTCAACTAGTTTCACAAATTTTCCAACAAAATTTCTCAAACAAAAATTATGACAAAAAATCCAAATAAAAAATTTTCTAAATTAAAATAACTAAAGAAAATAAAATAAAATAAAAGATAGAAAAAAATAGAGAAAAATAAAATGCTAGTGATAAACAAAAACAAAATAAGAACCAAAATGATAAAAATATTAATTGTGTTTCTTGACATCAACACCAAATTTGATAACATTATAGTTGATGCAATCGGATTAATATTACTAAATTATAGAAAATTTAGTATTACTAAGATAATAACCAACGTAATAGAAAAGTTAAAATCAATTCTAAGTTCACGAAGATGAAATTTATTCTTAAAAGATTAGTTATAATTCAAACTATACCAAAGAATTAGTAAAATAAAAAATGATAAAGAAAGAAGATAAACAGAAATAGAATAAATGAAACATTAAAAGTCTTACTCTTTATCATCAACTTTTTGGTGTGGGCCATGTCTTCAGGTACTCCCACAGTTTCCATATACATTTCAGGGTGGTTAAAAGATCAAAATTCCCTAGTTTCGCCGTTCGGGTAGTTAATTTGAAAATTATTTATTGTATAAAATATTTTTTAATTACGTAGTATTTGAACGTATAAAAAAAGTTTAATTTAACTAACACTGGGAAGAACCTAAAATGCTACATTTGGAAATAAGAAAAGTGAAAACAAACAAATATTTGAGAAATTTACTCGAACTTTTTTTAGCTCTCACAGTAACTAGTAAAAGTAAAAGCGTACTTTCTGTATACTTCTAAATATAATATAACTATTACACCCCATATTTTAATTTAATTTACTTAAAATATAATAATCATACTAAATTTATCCATATATTTGGTAAATTTACTAACTTTAATATTAAATATTGTTCTCATGAAAGTTAACTTCCTATATTTTTATCATACAAATTTGCAGATAAGTACAAATTTTAAACTACTAAATAAAATAGTTAAATCGTTCAGTTCCTTTTATTGATAAAATCATCAACTGGTATTTAAAATTAAAATTTAACTTCAATAAAATAAAAGACTAACTAATATAACATTTTATTCATTAACTTCCCAAACGATGTGAAAACTTCTGCTCATAGGATTTATGAAAAACATTGAAGCTCAAAGATATAGAACAGATTTTTCAGAAAACATACATACATTCATACATATATACATATATACATACACACACACATATATATATATATATATATATATATATATATATGTGTGTGTAAATATATTTCATTTTTGTTACCCCTGGAGAAAACATTGTTAGAGGATACAGCTCCCTTTTATTTGCTCAAGAAACATAGTTGCCAAGCATTTCTTTCATTTGGTACAGGATTTGAAGTAAATATTTCCTCAAAACCGTGTTAAATATGACCTACTCAGTAGTTACTGTTATCAGTTTTGTAATTTAAATTTATGACCTCATTACATAAATAGCCCATATAGCCATACTCCAAGGTGTTTCTCTACCAAAAACCATTGATTTTCAACATCACTTATATTTAAAGAAAAGACAGTACACCCACATTTAAATATCACTTATATCCTTGATAGGAATTGAAGAAGGGGGAAATAAATGCTAAACATAAAAAGGACCCAACCATATTGATATCGAAGGTTAAAAAAATGGTGGTAGTGTTCGATGTTTGGAACAATTCATTCACCAAGTATTGCATTGTAGAAAATATTTTTGTTCCTCTTCGAAACAAAGGCCCCCACACAAGACAGTGACGAGCTTCGACAACATATACAAAAGGTAATGATTTCAAAAGAAAAACTAAGCACAGAACCAAAAGAACACTCAAGCTATAAATTTCAAGGCAAAAGTGTCTATTGTTGCCATTATTAGAAAATGCCTACTGAGGCAAGTTTATACCATCAAAAAATGCATTTCATATAAGTTTATCAAGAAACCGTACATGTTTTCTTCTTAAAAGAAAACATTCTACCACAAACATCAATACATTGTAAACCTCCACTTCAATCAAAATACCTTCATGCAATACTTAATTCACTCAAGGAATAGATCGTTGATATAGGGGTAAACCTCCCAATGCTTCACGTTCTGCTCTCTCCCTCTTCACCTGCAAGTCATAAGTGGCAAAGCATTTAGAGACAATTTTAGCAGCTATTTGGTTGTTGATTGTCCATATCTTAACACTTTCTGCTTACAAGTAGACAAACTTCTCACAGTCGTCTCCTGAGAGAAATTCTTACCTATTCTGAAAGTGATACTATAATCTGGGATAAGTAATAGATTGATTTTATAATGATTTATAGGCTTCACTATGTTTCTAATTCCTGAAATTTGGGATAAATCTGATTTGGTGCCCCAAATTGAAAGAAAAATACGTTGTAGTTCCTCAAATTTCAAAAAGTTTTTTTCAGTCCCTGCAGCCAGATAACATTAACAAAAATGGTGACATATTGCTTGAAACATAACATGCGTCAAATGTTGGGAGTGCCAAGTCACTTCCGTAATACTGTCTGACACCATGCACTGAAAACATTTCACAAAAAACTGATGGACAAATAAATTTATTTTTTCAGTTTGAGGAACCAAACACAAATTTATCCTCAATATCAGATACTAAAAACATAATTATACTTTCTAATAAAATGGAACTTTTTTGTGCATTGCTCTTAGATATACAATTTGCTTTCAGGTCATAACTTTAACACCACCAATTGACCAGTCCATACCCAGAAGGCTCAAGCTCACAAACCATGCTTCAAAATAGTAGCCAATTAATTATTACAAATCAGGAGTCATAAAACCTTCTTCCCCTAAAACCCCACAACAAAACTGAAATTCATTTCTTCTTTTCTATGGACAGTGTATATTGCCAATATGTTCTCCAAATATAATTCTGAAAGCAAAATGATGTTGCAAGGACGGAGGGATAAGCTATTCTAAGCTAAAGAAAATTTGCCTGACTATTATTACAGCAAGTAGGCATTGACAAAGAGATCTACAGAATTGAAGTGATAGTGTGAAACAAAAGAAAGTCTTCATTTCTTTATACTTCAAATATAGAATACAAGTGAATCATCAAATATACTAATATATTTCTTGAAATGATAGTTCTATCAACAACAAGAGCACTAACAATACAAGCAATGCATGTTACAAAATACTGTTTATGTGTTCAACTTTTGTTTTCATTGGTTACACAAAAAAGACACGGAGAATAAAGAAGGATGTAATCAACTCCATCAAATATTATAATGAAACATGCGCCAACACACATTTAATTACACATAACAACAGCACTTACAAGAGCCAGCATATCCTGAAGGTAGCCCCTGAACGGTGTTTGCATAGCCTGTCATTAAGGCAACACCAGAAAATATGAGAATCCAAAATCAACATTATAATCAAAAGTTTCATAATATGCAACTCTTCATACATGCTCATACTCCAAAATGGACATTAAATCTTCACACACATAAGAAACAAACACAACTAGTTAGTGTTTTCTCAGACAATTTAGCACATTCAGCGAAAATTTGGACTGTCCAATATTATCAGGTAGTTCCACATCATGATTAGGTTACAGTGACTAAACTTCTCAAACCCTCAAAATGCATTTCTCACCATCTAGCCATATTAATCCAAAATCATGACTCTGTACATCCTCTAAGTCAGTCAACTGTAAGCATTTAGTAATACATTCATATACATCCATCCATCAAGTCTTTAACCTAATGAATTTGACCCAGTCACATCATAGCATTTCAACACATGATTTTCTTTTTCATCCAACTTGGTTGTAACTAAAACCCAACAAAAGCAACAAATCTATGAAAGACCAAGTAAGTAATAGATTCATACACATCCCTCGTGTACCATTGTAGGCAACAGATTCATACATATCCATCATCTCTAAAACCCTAATTAATTGGAACCAGTCAACAGAAACAAGAACAGGATACCTCGAAACTAAGCTCAACAGCAATAATAATAAAATAGACGAAAAATAAGAAGAACAAAAACCTGAAGATCGTCAGGGAGGTACTCGTGCTTCATGGAAAGGTCGATGGCGCGTTTGAGACGAGCGTGGCGGGCGTCCACCACCTCCTTCGGGAGCCGATTCAGCGCCTCCTTCACATCCAGATCGTAGTAAGGATCGTACAAATCGTCGTATCGGAGCCCTGATTTACAAAATCCAAAACGATTTTCACAAATCGGCACTATTAGGGTTGCGGAAATTGGAGCGACAAGAGAGAAAAGAAGAATGAACCGTATTTGCTGAGGCGTTTGACGAGGGATTTCATGTGCTGAGCGGCGAACCAGTTCTTCTTTGGATCCAGAATAGATTGAACAAACGACGCCATTGCAATTGCTCTCTTCGCTTTCTTTCTCGCTCTTTCGTTAGAGTTTTTCGAATAATCACAGAAGAAGAGCAACAGAAGTGCTTCTTATTTTGCACCACACCGCTCTTTGCGTCTACGACTATTACTTTTACCCAACGACGTGTCGTTTATTCCTTCAATTGCCAATTTATCAAAATATATAAAAGTATTTAATATAAGAGAAAAAGAAAACCTATCTTTTGGCTATTTAAAATTGAAAATGTTATTGGCTACACATTATAATGTATAATAAAATTTAAAGAATATTGTATTTTTCGCACTTGTAATTTTTTTTTTAATTTCAGTCACATATCATAATTTTGAAAATAATACATTATGAATAATTTTTCATTTACGTGTAGCTCTTAAAGTTAAAAAAAAATTACACTCACATTTTATTCATCAATTAGCTAAGTCGTAAACTTTAGGAGATATAAATGTTGGAATTCTGATATTATTATGTGGAACAAGAAAATTGAGTAATATATAAATGCAAATTAAAATAAATGTATATAAAATTGTTGGTTTAAACCCTTTAGTTGTTTCTATTTATGTGGGGTTTTCCCATTTTGATCCCCTTCTTATGAGAATTCCCACTTGAGTCCTTATAAGTGTTAATTTGAATCAATTGAGTCCCTGCCGTTAAATTTAGTTAACGGAGTTAAGTTTTTACACATGTGGGAGGATGGCGTGTTAATTTCTTTAAACGTGGCATGTTTAGAGTTGAAACGTGGCATTTGGCCATCTTCTTCTCCTTTTTACATCTTCTCGTCATTCCCAATCCCAATATTCTTCTCCATTCTCAGCACTCTCTGTAAATAGGGAAAATAGCTTTGTGAATCGTGGAGATGTTATTTCAGATTTCAGGTTTGATAGTGGGTCAAGGTAGAAAGCAAAAGAGGCACGACTCCGGGTTTTACAAAGAGGAGTTGTTTCGTGATTTCACGATTTGGGCGAAGGGAAAAGTTTCGTGATTTGCATCCCATGTGTGTTGCAGGTCAGCGAAGATGTTATCACATTGACAAATATGTTATCACATTTTAGATCTCTATGGATCATAAGCAGATTGTGACTATGAAGATAGAGAAGTCCATTCAAGATCTGTCTACACAAATGCTTCACTGCTCTGATGTTAACTCTCTTGTGCTTTAGCCTATACCTATTTCACAATTAAAACAACCGAAAGTAAGAAAGAAGAAGAAACGATCCCACTATACAAGATCTAGAATGCATAAAGACAGAAATAATGTAGCTACCGGGATAGTAGTGGCAACTAAGGAACTTACTGTCTAAGTGTACCGGAGGTGAACATTTCAGTCACGAAGAGGCAAAAGCAGGTCCTTTTTCCCATTATGTGCTGCTGCCATCATCACTAAGAGTGAATTATGATAATGGCTTCTTCTTGCGGTGGCGTGAGGGTTTGCGTTGGTGGTGGAGGGGACAATGAACTCTAGCTTTACTCTCACATCAGCATGTCACGTTTCAAAAAATTGACACATCAACCTCCTACCTGTATAAAAACTTAACCTCGTTAACTAAATTTAACGGTAGGGGCTCCATTGATTCAAATTAGCACTTTTAAGGACTCAATTGGGGATTTTAATAAGAAGGGGATCAAAATGGAAAAATCACACATAAATAGGGACAACTAAAGGGTTTAAACCAAAATTGTTTAATAAATGAGATTGTTTAAATAGGTATCAAAAGTATATATGATTTAGTTATCACTTAAGTTATTAAACTCATGAATTGGTTAATTTTTATAAATGAATTATCTTTTAAGTCTTTAGTTTATGCTTTTTTTTCTTAAATGGTCGAGATATATTATTGAAAGATTCATGATAAATGTCTTATAAAGTTCTTTTTTCAATCTAATATGTTATCCTTCAAGTCTTAGTAGTCTCAGATGTATTAAGTAAGATGTCTCTAACGTTTAAGTGGATGATGCCTATAAAGACAATATGATGCTCAAGTCAGGCACGTAAATAAGATAGTAATAATGATAGAGTGAATACCTAATAATTACCTTGTGAACAATGTTATTTATAATAGTTTCGTGAGTTTTTATCTAGTTGGAGGTTACTTAGGCAGTTACCTTTCTAAAGTTGTTTAAGATTTTGCTAATTCATCTTATGCCTTAATCTCATTATCAATTATGTTTGATCCTCATTTATGCCTTCAACTAAAGTTATGATGTGATACGCCCCTGACCAAGATGCTCCTACAGATATGATTTCCTCTTGGATCATCAAGTTACTGTGACTAAAATGTCTTTGTCGACATAATGTCATTATTTGTTGGTTTAGATGATCTCGGTCGCATATGGTACACTAAACCTCCATATTTGATGTGACTTGAGTATGAGAGTTTTATTTTGCAATGAAAATTTGAATTCCTTGGTGCAACAACTAGCTAACCACAAGCTACTACACAAGGTTAGTCAATTATCACTCGCCTTAGACCAAGGTAAAACTCCTAGACTAGAACCTCCTACTATTCTCACGACATGCTTCACCTCTCTCTACTTGAGAATGGATGACCATTAGAATGTTAGGATGAACTCCAAGACTGAGCTTCCCATGTTCATACTTATAATACATAAAACCACCACTAAGAAGTTCCTCCTTGGAACTCTCTTTCATACCTTTGAAACCATTGAGATCACTTTACATTCACATAGTATGTCAATACATAAACTACTGATCATACGTTAAAGAAATAGACACTCTGTTACTTGTCATAAAATATAACACAATTTTCTTCATAGCAATATGATACTCACACTAGGTAAGGAAAACGACTTTGAAACCCTCACCAACAACTCCGGAAGGTTTCAAAACCTCAAAAACGACCTAAAGAACGTCCAAAACTTATACCTAAAATCCAAATTTGATATTTCTAAAACCTAAAAAAAAAATCAAAATTGGCACAGTGGCGCTCAACGCCTAGAAGCTAGAGCTTAACGCCCTAACTTCTATTTTTTTGCGCTCAGCGCCCTGGCCATTGACCCCTAGAGTGGTGGCTCTCAACGTCCTGTTTGGGTGCTCAAGCAATATCAGTAGAACTTTGCACTTTTTGGATCACTTCACTCACTTACCCCCACAAGTTTGAATGGTTCCTAGGACCTTATAAACATTGAGAAACGTCCAAAAACATCACTCTAACTCAAATTGACCCCTTGAAACCAAAATCACCTTTCTAAACTACCCAAACTCAATTCTACATTTCCTAACTTCCATATCAATTTCCGAACTGCATAATCAAGTTCAAACACACCATATAACACGCTACTCACAGCTTACCTATTTCAAGTTTCCATCTTGCAAAACCCCAATTCGAACTAAAAACACCTAATAACTCACCCTAAGATAACCTTAACTATTCTAAATTAGATTTTTCTCATTTAACAACCTAGATAAGTTCTAATAAGTCTAATAACAGACCTCTAACTATCCAAAACAATTTACACTCACTTTTTCAAAATCTTCCCACTTAAAACCCCATTTTTACACTGAAACACTTTAAAACTTTAACTATGAACTAACTTTTAATTACACATCAGATTTCAATCACAGTATACATCCAACAAGTCTTAATTTACCTCATGACAGCACATAGACAGTAGTTTACTCACATAAGCCCCAAATTCTCAAACTCACACATGCAAACCCCGCTTATTTAGGCTTAAAACTCAAGAATTTAACCATTTCTCATCATAACCACTTTGAATTCAGTTTCAAACAATAATACAACTTCATCACACAAAATTCAAGACAACATATAACATCAATTTTACACTATCACAATTATATACACATCATACTACCAATTATCATTATTTAAACATAGAAAATACTACACTACTAACACAATTGCATCCAATTCATCATATTATTCTCATAAATACTATTTTCGTACGTAAAACATAATCTAAGCTAGTTCTAGCTTCCCTTACCTCACAAAGAACAACACAACTCTAACGACGTCTCACCGATTGCTTGAAACGCAAGGAATTTCTAGATGAACCTACGAAACACAAAATTAAGAGCGAACGGAGTCCTTAGAACTTTAGACTAACCAAGAATGAGTAGAAGAAGCAAGATTACACATGCAACGACACTTGCTTCTTCCAAAAATATATTGGGAACAAGAGAGGAAAAAGAAGTCAAAACTTACTTGCTCTATGACAGAAATTGATCGGCTAGAAAAGTAGACATCGTTGCCATGATCAATTATATACCTCCTGATCGTCAAAGAGATGACTCAAGAGTCAGAACTCTTAGAGAGAAGCTAGAGAACTCTAGAAAAGTGGTTTTAGAGAGATGGTACGTTCTGAAATAATGAAACTCGTTTATAACAAAACTATTTATAAATAAACCCTTTAATATTAAAATAATTGAGTCTCACTATTTTCTAAACTACCATCACTTCTAAAATACCATTTTTTGGGGTTTTACAATGACAATAGGCCTTATGTTACCATTGTAACTAGTCCTACAGTCGACCTTCATTCGACTACTATTGGGGTTGGAAAGGGAATGAAGAGAAAGAAACCTTCATCTCAAGAAGCATATGCCGAGAACTCTGAGTTGCCTTTGAAGGGATGGGGTGGCCTTGTCGCACTCAACTTCGCCTTTTTAATATTATAAAATTCTCCTTGATAGAGGAAGATGAGCACTTGGTTGGCAAAAGCACCCCAAGCAATGGTAGATGCCTACATTGAGCTCCATAGCTACACATTGATTTATGGTCACCAAATTGGGAACCTTTTGATGAAGAAGATGAAGGGAGAAGGTCATAGTCTAGAGCTTTTACCTTGACCTAATATAGTTTATAGGCTAACCTTGTACGGTAGCTTGGGTAGATAAGTTGTTTCACCATACAAGTTTAGGTTCCCTAAGAGTTTGATATCAATACTATAGTGAAGAGTGAATGATTCTATGTCTTATGATTAATTGATTTATATATGTTATATGCCCACTTCTATTAAAATTATTTATGATTTTTTTTGGTACATTAACTTATCATTTCCTTTTTGTTTGTGTGTGTTCCTTCTTGTTTGTAATG